TACTTGTGCAACGACGAACGTCGAGGTGATACGATAGGAATTTTGTATTCTGCCTCGACGGCCGATGATGAAAGTTAGCTGCAGGCAGATCGAACAACTATTCCGAACACCCTCTATGGTAAATGCGGTAGAATATACAGGAAGATCCCACATCTTTACGCAACGCCATGGAATCAAGCCGCTATGAAAGTGACTGGTCGTTAACGATTTGAATCGTTTCTCATTTGAATATAATCAAGTGAAATGAGCTAAAGCTGGGAGTTAGTGCGCAATTGCAAGCCAACTTACCCTTTCCATCCAAATGATTACGAAACTGAACGTCATCCCATATGTCAACGCTCAGTATTACGATGCTGGCTGAGCCGTGTCTTGGAAGAGAGGCGTAGAGACAAATGGCGTAAGGGAAATCGCGCAACCTTGTGTCTTCTTAGGATTGAATTGGGCTAGAGTTGACCCTAGTCCAAGACTATGTAGTTGAGGTTCAAACGAGGTTTTGCCCTAGTACTGATCCAAAAGCAGATGGGTAGCTCCGGGAAAGTCACACACTAAAAGCGAGTAGAATAATGAACATATTGTATCACTTCGCGCCAGTTGTCTGTGAGTATTTTCCGTTCGTGGCTGCTGTTCGTTTGGCTGAAGTTCGAAAGCAACAGCATGGCACTCCCACTAGGAAGGGGGTTGGGTGAAATATTCATGTTTCAAGTATTAACATCGTAATTTTCGGTCAAATGTACTCTACTAAAATAGGATATGTAATTAGTTGCTACTAATTGAAGGGTGCGATAACATACGTGTAGCCTCTTGAAGTGTAGCATCGTTGACTGCTACGAATGGCCTACGACGTAGCACAATGCGTGATTAGAAGTCGTGTTAATTTATTTGTATCACGAATTACTAATAAACTTGAACCTAAATATGTAACCGGATAAAACCCGAAAATAGTATTATAATTTATTGAATGTATAACGATTTTATGTGTAACGTAACACTTATAAGACCACGTCAGTACGACCTCGTAGATTAACATCGAGTTTCTTACAGCGATATTTAATCTTCGACGTCAAAGATCACTTAAATTATTCTAAAGCTCATAAAGATGGCTTCTGCTTTAATTATTCTGCATCTGAAAAGCCGTCGTCGAATCGGGACGGAATCGATCTCAATAAATTATTGTTGCCTCAATGAACCCCGAACAGTTTCCAATCGGCGATAATAGGAACTAGGTTCTATCATAAATTCATGTGAGTTCAACTGGTTAAATAATTTGTTATATGTTCGATTATCGATGATGAGCTTCCCTTGACAGCTGCGTTAAATAATAGTTTGTATTTATATTACTTTTTTAAGTTTTATTGAACGCTTTGAATCACTATGATTATATTAAATAGATATAAAATTAAAAATATATTGGTGCTAAACCCACTCTCTAATTAAATAATGTAATAAATTCACGTTAAGCTACGTTAACAAAATATATTTAATTGCGTAAATAAGACAGTAACAAAAATCTTATTAAAACCCAGTTTTAGTATTCAATACATCGTTAAAAGAAGGGCCTAACATTTTTCACTACATACGTGACTCAGCGAATCACGTCGCGATCGAGAAATTCAGTAAAGAAATAACTTCTCAAGAAACTCGTGGTCGAATACGTATTATTTATTCATACATTCACTGGACAGTCTTACCAAAGCCACCTTAATTCACTCCATAAATATATATGCGAAGTTATGACTAGACTAACGAATCAAAAAATCTTAAATTGATTTTACTAAAGTGAAAATGTCTACTTATATTTTACGTAGAATATGAATAATTAAAAAAATATTTCTAGTTTAATCTATAAAGCTGTTTATTTTTTTAAATATTCTATTAAATAATATTTAATGGTGAAACAGCTTTATATAAAACCTAGTATCTGATAGGTCAATGATTAGTAAAAGCTTCGGAATTGTTCTTGTAAAACAAACACTATTCTGATACAACCTCCAAGATCGTATATAAAATTAAAAAGCAATACAGATATGACAATTCGATTAATTTAATTCTGCTGTTTAGCTTTACAAAAAGTTCTCAATATTTGCTAAGTAAATGTGAAATGAAAATCAAAGAACGGTACGGCAATCACTCACTCGATGTTAAATATGCAGACGAGTGTATTGATTGTCTCCAAGAATATCGTTCGGAAAACCCCGAACGCTCACTTTTCTATTATTATAGAATTATGGTAATTAGGTATACGCACGTTCTTAAAACAAACTGTTTATAAACATGCGACATTGAAGGTAATTAAATGAAATATGTATATAATTCTACGATAAGTGTTTTATTAATGCTAATAATAAATGTGATATTTATGTAAAAAATATGCGACAAATGCTTTCATTCAAATTTGTGACTGCGACTGATATTAAGATCCTATTAAGATTTTTGTTCAGCTTTCACATCGAAACCTCTAGCCAAATTATCTTTCAGTGTATATAAGTATATAATCCCAATTAACTGCAGATCAATACACCTAAGTTTCAAATGGTATTATGCTTTTAAAATCTGACGGTGACTGTTTAAAAGTATGTAAACTTAGAAGAGAATTCACTCTTAACAAGTTCCAGTCAGCCTGAGAATAATCAGGACACAAACTAACTACAAGAAATAACAAGGAATAACGAAATTATATCTACCATGAATCATCAGTTGTTGATAAATAAATTTAAAGTCTTTTTTTAATTTTATTAGACGTGACTATGCAAGAAATTGTATAGTATTTATAATTTGTGCCTTTTCATTACTTAATAAACATCCCCTTTTGTACGTAGATATAGACGTGTCATGAAATGATAAAATAGAAATAGCTCACAAATTTCATTACTTTGGACAAATTTAGATTGTCGAATAGGGCTTTATTGTTACTTATATACAACTTATATACACAATCCAAGTTGTCGGTATAAAACCATTATATTATAGCTTCATAATTTATGAACCGAGCAAAATCTGTTTCAATATGAAAGGGTACACTCGCCAATAACTTTCTTTAGCGTTATCCCTTATAATGTAGGGTCGTCTTTGATATTTTTTAATAAAATTGTAAATCGTAATCAATCTCTCTATTTTTATCCGGAAAAAATCATATTTTTCACATCAAAATTTTCCTTCACCCTTTATAGGATATTTTTTGTGTATAAAATATTAATTTTATAATTTAAAAAAACACTATTATACGTTGCGATATCGTTGGATACTGAAATCCATGTCTTTTTCAAGGATTGTTGATTAATACTCAAAGAAATGCATAAAATGCCTTAACATTCTATATTTGATCTACAGCTTGTTAATGACTTCTAATTTATTTGTCAGTTAAGCTAAAAAATATCCCTACTCTACACCGCAGGCCTGGTGCATTAAAACTCAAAGGCTGGGCCTAACCTCTATGAATTGGGCTGCGCCAAACAAACTATAATAAATCCCTGTAATTAAGCAAATGAATAGTTACCTGTATTAAATTCTCAACCTCATTATTTTGGTTCAACAGCGTTCCAAAAATATCGATTCACGAAACCAGCATGTCGGCCGCCCTCTAGGGCAGACAGCTCCACTCGCTCTAAGTACACATAGGACACAACACGTCAAACGGTTTCCCGCCACTACTATTTCAACACTTGTCTTATATACATTTAATGTAAATTACCCACTACAGTCCGTTTCGCTTGTAATTGACATTTTAGGGGTTTTATTATTATTATAGAATAAACTGAAACTTTCCCTATATTTGGTTGGGAAAATACAGTGTACCGACCGGGCGCTTGTGCTCGACCCGACTGACTGAATTTTCTACTTTTACCCGGCGCAAGCCTTCAACCCCTTGTAATCGAGCACATTCTCAAAGATCCATGATGAGTAGGTACATACATGTAGTTAGCTGATGGAATTATATTTATTATTTAATGTAGGTTTTTGTTCTTAATATCTCTAGCATATAACATTTAGATTAATTTTATAAATTATTAAGACAACACTGCTATAAAAAAAATCACAAAACTCACTAGCTTAATTACATGGAGATAATATGGCAATTATTGCCTAGAAAGGAAATCACAAATAACTATTAAAAAACAAGAATAATAATTAAAATTATTATTTCTATGCGTGTGTTAATTTATTATGAATATACATTTTCATAAATAAGAAATATAATTTAGTAGTGCTAGATGGCTGACAATTTCCGATGAAAGTTTCGAAGAGATTTTTTAGTTTGTTGTCGTATTAATCTCGCATCATCCAAATTGGTTTCCTGTTTAAGAGTAAATCTTAAAAAGTTAGTTACAGCGGATTTTTTTTATTAATACTAAGTAATTAATAATTCATTCATAACAACTTTCTTTGGGTACAAAAAGAGACGAGAGTTTTGTTGTGTTTTCCGCGAAAAATATTTGTATGTAAAATCAATATTTTACGTGTAACTTTTGAGTTACAATTCTATATGAAGTAACCTTCAAGAGCTTTATAAGATTTTTTTACAATAATATAATATGAAGACGTTATCATTTTAAACTCAAGGTAAAAATTAGTAGTACATATTCAATTAATGTTAATAAAAGAATTCTTATTCAGATAGCAAACATTTCGTTATAATTTACAGTAAGTAGCCTGACCTCTTTAATAAGACATTATTATTTATTGATAGTGTTTTAATACTTATGATTGTCATCATTGATAACTATTAAAAATATTGCATCTGTGGTAAGGTAAGATATCTCAAGGTTGTCATTTGAAAATGTCAAGCATAGCAAGGGTAACTGTCAAACTGACAACATCTTAAGATGTTTTGACATTGACTTCTGTAGCGGTGGCCGGTTGCGTTCATTTTTAGTCTATACTCATTACTCTATAGATTTTAGAATTTAACAATTATTTGATATTTATGTTTTAAAACAAAATACATAAGTGTTTAGTAATTTTTACAATTATAGTGCATTTAAATAATTAACACTTTAATCAAAATGGCACAAGCGGAAGATACTGAACTTCGTGATCTTGTTATTGAAGCTTTGGAAAGAAACGGATCTCTTGCAAAAATAAGGGCTCTGTTGAGGGCTAACATCTTCCTGGCTTTCGAAGACGACTGTGAAAATATTAAACAAAATGAATCCCTTGACAATATTCTAAAGCTTCCGGAAGGAATTTTATCCTTATCGATCATACACGAGTTTTTGGAGTTCTGCAATTTAAAAAATACGTTGTTTGTTTACATGTCAGAATCACGACAAGGAAATGAGTATAAGGTTAAAACACCGCGGTCACTCATTGATACGTTACGACTGAATAAAGCCAGTAAAGAAAAAGAACCTATACTTATTACTCTGTTAAAACACTTCACAAAGTCACAAAAACATGAAAGTTCGCATGAAAGCTATGAGCATGAGCATGGTGATCATTCTACATATACAGTAGAACATGATACTAGTTCCTCTACAAGTCAATCCCAATCTGATAATTCATCAGATGAAAAAAATAAAATAGATTTAAGATTGTCTTTAGATAATTCAGATACTGATAGCTCTAGTGACTCAAGAAACAAGAAAAGCTCAGAATATGTTCCTAATCCAGATATAACTGTAAGTGACTTAGATTTAGATGTGCCTGAAGAGGTCAAAAGTTGTCCAGAAAGTTTTTCTTCTGTAGAAAAAAAGAAATTAAGTAACAAAGATAGTTTTATTAGGAGCAGTGAACCAAAATCCATTGAATTGAAACCTTTTAACTTAACAGATGAAAAACTTTTAAATACCACAGGAATACCTAATAGTGATGATAATATAAAAGAAAATAAAACAATGGCAAATGAATTTCACACATTAAGTAGTCCTTCATCAGAATCATTTAAAAAAGAAAATACAAACTTAATTTCTACAAACACTTCAAATTTAATTTCTAAATTGACACCAGACCAATCATACAAAAATGATCATACGCCAGATTATAGTTATGATTTTTCATCTATGCCAGGTTCCGAAAAATCGCTTTCAAATATTCTAACAAAAAAACCAACAACAAACCACAATAGTTCAAGTTCATATAGTGATAAACAAAATTCCCCAAGGTCACTAAGTTCTATTTCTATATCAGATGTAGCTGATCTTATAAGTGAAAGAAGCTATGTAAGCAGAAAAAGTATAAACTCAATTTCCCAAGGAAAATTACAAAATGATAAAAGCCCAGATAATATTAGCTTGAAGTCTAGCAATAATTCCAGTGATTTCTCACATTCTCCGATTCCATCTTTATCAAATCTAAGTTTAGACTATCATAGTGATTAGGGGTGTTGTTTATATTAACTTCTTTAAAAAAAAAAATGTGCATTTTTATATAATAATTGTGCAATTATTTCAATTAAGTATTTTAATATTGCTATATGTAGTATTGTATACCTAAGGAACTTTGTTAAAAACTTGAAATAAATTGTCAATGTTTAATAAATACTTCGTTAAAAACTTGAAATAAATTGTCAATGTTTAATAAATACTTCAGTGAGTACTATGAGCACAGTAATGGTACACATGTTGCTGTACACAGGTCTAATGATTTATAGTCAGTAAAATTTAGCGCTAGTGATCTTGTGATAATAAGCATTATTCCTAATGAAAAGTTATTATTGGTGTATTTTTCATAATATATTAATAGTGGTGTAAAGTTAATATATATACCTAGTTACTTCTGATGTTATACAAAAAAAACCTAAATTTTAACTGGAGAGTGAAAATTGTCGATCCTGCATATTTCTATACTTGTTTTTATTTTAGCTAAATTTATCTAATAGTGGGAAATCTGGTATCAGCAAGTCTCATTTTAATATGTTTTAGACTTTATCCAGATGATAATTGATTCCGAGTCAGAGATCAGTTCATTTAAATCCTGCATTTGTTATTGTAAAACAATGAATATTATTAAGTGTTTTATAATATGGTGTAGATTAGCATTTTAATATATTAATATGTACTTACTAATTAGGATATATTTAAAGTAAATTATAATTACTCATTTTAGTGCATCACACATTATTTTGTTGGCATATTGTATTGTAATAAATAGTATTTTTAATTTTGCAGAAGGTTGTGCCTTATTTAAGATAACAAATTTAAACAGAGGTTCCTTAAATTTCAAGTTGATAGTCTAGTCCTAGAAGCATAAACAGGTGCCGTCCAAATTGCTCCACTATCTCATTTGTTTCTGATGAATAACAATAACATGGTGTTTTAATATAATGTTTCTAGTGCATAAGTTCCTTTTGAATAAAGTTATTGCTTTATGTATATTGTATTTTGATTTGGTTGTTGTATTATTACTATATCCACAAGTATCCTTACTAAGTATTGCATATCTGGACATCTCTAGTCCCCATTAAATATGGCAGATTCTATAAATAGACACTTATTAGTGGGCACAAAGTTCATAAGAGAACGCTTACCATCAACGCAAAACTAACATTAGGAAAGGGTTTTTTTAAACTTTAAACATGAATTTCTCGGTAGCCCGCGGGGCTAACAGATGTCGCAGTGCCTACGCAGTAGAGGCGTACTTTTGCAATAAGTTTTCGTTGAGTGAAACACAACGCAAGTTTTGTAATCGCTTTGAAATCTACCGTTTAAGTGACGCCCCTAGCATTCAGTTAATTAAGTCGTGGGTAGAAAGTTCAGAGCGACAAGTTGTTTACTGAATCATTCAATTCGCCCGCAAAATAGACCACTTCGATCGATTGAAACCATCGACCGCGTCGCCGCTGCGATCGCGGGGCATCCACGACGATCAGTTAGAAAACATGCTGCCTCTTTGAGCCTCCACCGTTCAAGTCTTCATCCCATTTTGGCCTTAGACTTAAGATTACATCCACGTAAGGTACAAATAATCCAAAAAATCAAACCAGAACCATCGAATCAATCTAAAACGAAAATATTAGAAAGCATTACACAGATCCAAAGTCACTTGGTGTGCAATATCGGCGAAGAAAATCATCGGGCCATTTTTCTTCGAGAATGACCGAGGTGCAACGGTTACAGTGACGAGCGAGCGGTATATTGACATGATTCATTATTTTTTCTGTACCGCAGCTGCAAAAAGAGGATATTGACAAGTCAGGTGTATGGTTTCAGCAAGATGGGGCCACAACCTACACAGCTAGGGTCTCCATGGACACACTAAAAGCGTTGTTTCTGGTAAAAATCATAAGCCGCTTTGGAGACATTGTGGCCAGCTGACGTTTTTTATGGGGTTATCATCTCAAAGCAAGGATTTATAATACCCTCTTACGAATTTTGAGCAGTTAAAGACTAAAATAACGACAGAAGTAAGAGCCTTATCAGATGACGCCTGTGGCGTGTCTCTGCAAATTCGCTAGTCCTAGAGTGCATTCACCGTGATGGAAGACTTCTTGTGTAACATTTCGTACATAAAATCCGCACTAATACATTATAATTTACTGCAATTATTAATAATATTGCAAATACAATTTGTTTTTTTTTTAAATATTTAAAGTTTAAAATCGGCGCTGAGACATACTCTTTTGTTTATTGTAAAAATAGAATTAAAAGTATCTGTCATGATAGGTTCGGGATTTGATCCAAAATAAAACAAGGTACTGAAATGATACGTCATTAAGTTTTTTTTCACAATTTATATAAAGCATAGATTGTAGATATCACGTTTTATGCACACAAGTCAATCCATACCGAACACAGTAACATAAGTTACATTTCTATACAAATTAATATACTGTATAATATGGCATAGCGGTTAGTGTAATCACATAGAAAAAATTATATTAAACATTCTTATCATATTTACACTTATTTTAGGTACATGAGTTTTATATGAAAATGGTATAAAAATTACACTTTCATAATATATTACATAGTTATGCAGTTGCGTCATTATTATTCCTAATTTTGAAAAATATAACAATAGTAAAAGCCACAATTATTATATTACTACAAATAACAGTTAAACACTGTTGAAAAATTGAAATATAGCTCCAGGCACTGTAGTTGAGTATTTTTCACGAATTATACTAACTGAAACTTTTTAACGTAAGCGTTAAAAATTTTCTGTGAAAAATTACAAGAAAAAGAGAAAGGCTGCTACTCTTGCTTTTAGTATTTGCTATTATCCACAAATATGCAGAGCTAATCCTTTCGTTTGAAATTTTGGAAATTACATTAACTTTGATAATATCTACATAATAACATTCATGAAATAAAACAGATAAATAAAATGTATTTATGGCACATGAGTTTCTGACTTTGTAACAGAATTTAAAAAAAATACTAGCTGTTATGCGTTACTTGCATTGCTTAAAGACTTAAGAAACATCAATTCAGAAAAATTATATAAAATAAAAATATTTGCACTATTTGTAATTTAAAAAAAGATATATCTACAAATGTAATTTTAATATTGCGAGGTTGCAAAAAAATAAGCCTACATGTAAAGTATGAATGACGATTTACTGCCAATTTACGTAGTTTTATATTTAACTTGAAATAAATATTGTCAAATAATTTGAATATTACAAAGTACAGCCAAAACCGTTTACGACGATATACCGGTTATATTGACCAAAATCAAAGGTCCCGGCTGAATTCTATTGTATTAGGAAGTTAATAACAACGTCATCTGTTACGAACATCGGTTTTTACGACCAAATATGAGTAGTCTCTTCCATGTCGTTATAACAGATTTTGACTGTCGTTAGTAAAATCATAGATTAAATATAAATAGATTATTGTGCTCGTGTTGTATAATAAATACGCGTTATAGCAAAATTAATTACATTATTCAACAATACTGTATAGTCTCGAGTGTGTTTTCGGTCGATGGACCAAAAACCCACGAGTATAAACTTAACTATTTAGTATATTTTAAAGCTCGTTGCCCATAGAGCTGTCGTGTGTGAGATTCGAGTCCATACTCGCATTGTCTGAGTCTTGACTTTGGTTTCCGCTGTAGTTAGCTGCCTCTTGAAGTCGCATCAACATGTTTAACTGAAAGGAAACCAACAATTAACAAACAATGTTTTTGAAGTTATACTTCTTTAGGCGCGTTATGAAAAATTTATGAGAGTGAAATTTTACAATGCGCGCGCACCCGTGACACAAAATTAGGAGTGTGATTATAGCGTGCGCGAGCGAGATAGGAATAAGACAATCTACAAGTAAAAAGAAATAGAATATGCGTGAAGTTCGTATGCCAACAATTTTGAATGACCATAATGACATTTGTCATTTACCTTTTAAACAAATAAAGGAGTTTTAATTATTTTTTCAAAGAAATTTAGCGATGCTTTTTGAATTATAATCAGAAGTGATTTAAATTGAATATTTAAACCAATACTAATTAATATTTGTGAAAAAACTGTGCTCATCAACCTTCCTAAGTGCTTCAATACAATTGAGGTTAACTATCCGTATGTATTATTATTATTATCGAGTAATGTTTTGATTAAAAAATTAACCACATTGTTTAATCAAAACATGTAATTTTTCTGATTTTATCTAGCAAATATAAGGAAAAGAGACAAAAAACAATTGATGAATCAGTGTAACTGCACTAAATTGAATACAAAAAAAGAGTTTTCATCTTATCGCTGTGAAACATCAAAAACTGGAGGTGGAACAAAGCCAAACTATTTTTAATATTGCCAAAGAAGTATAACTTCTTACGCGCGTACATAAGTACACGGACCCTTTTTTTATTTGTAATAGCTAATGTACAAATTTATACACTTCTCTGAACTCAGACTTCAATCCCACTTTATTGTTTGAAGTTTAAAACATAAATGGTTAATACAGTAAAACTTGTAAATGGCGCCAAACGCTCAAAGCGCAGACAACTAACCAAAAATTTTAACATGTTATAGAGCATAGACCACAGATTCACACTCCTAAATTATTTTGCTTTGTTTTTGTTTTTAAATTTCAATGGTATGCATATTAAATAAGTAATTATGATTTGTAGTCCGAATATTAGGATTCGACATTAGATAAGACAGTACAAGCAAGGCCTTATATTATGAAAAATCGCATTCATCAACTTTTGACACAATTTAATATAGATTTTGATTTTTACCAAAGGATCTTGGTTAGGGTTCACGGCTTCTTGGCTGCCCTCTTCGATGTTCATGTCTTCAACTGTTATCGGCCGTAGAGTCTGAAATGGGGTTTAGGAAATTTATTAACTTATTACCCTACGAGGCAACAAACTGCGGTATGTAAATCAAGGCAATTGGTGAAAATTATATTAACGGTTAGTTATTAGCTTGTGTACTTGAGTGATGGGGAAACTTTTTAAACTATTGTAAGTAAACACAGACTATTAAAAAAAATAACCGTTAAAATAATTGCCACATGTTCCACTGGGTTTGGTCTTAAACGGTAGGTTTTTGGATTTTTAGTAAAAGAAGCAATTAGTTCAGAATGATTCTTACATGAGAATGATTAGGTTCTCTCCATGGGTAGGAAGACTTAACGTGTTGCAGAGGGTCAATCGCCGCGTGTCGTCTTCTACCGTAAAGCGCTACGCCTTCACGCACCGCCTCTGACGCGTATGGAACTATACTGTAGTTCCATACATCCGCGAACCATGCCTATAAACATTTAAAAATGAACAACAGTAGTTTGAAAGGTTGCACATGGATTCCAAGACAAATTATACTTGGGGATTGAACTATAGAATGGATAAAGCATATGTAGACATACTCTCACATAATTTTACATTAATTCAATTACCATACTTCTATGGTGAAGGATGAAGGTGGCTTAATGGAATGCATAACCGTCTACATATTTTTATTTACCTGTTACATAAAAATTGCCATGTCAAACACTTTGAGAAAAACTCGTATGTTAAAAATTACCTGACTAGCTTCCAAGTCCATAGGGCAAGCTAGGAATAGCCTTGGCCCTACTGTGACGTCACTGGATGAGTGGGCTTCTAAAAACGCATTAAGGGTCGACCAGACACCGGGCAGCCATTCTAAAACGGCAGCTAGCGCTGGCTCTCGCCTACCTAGCCGTAATTCCAGAGAAAACAGCTTTCGACGTAGGTACCTGTAATTAAAAAAAATATTAAAAATTTGATAGATATTCTAGAGCTGTTGTTTGGTGGATAGGCAGTGTTTATTTAAGATATTTTAATAAGCCTGACCTGAGTTTATTTCTCGGTGATAAAATGTTTGTTAAAACAACGATCACCTACGTATTTATCTGCTAAAAATACGAATTAAACAGTCAATTACAAAAATATGAATAAATAAAATATGTTTATTATAGAATATAAGATACAGGTATCACTTATACCACGTCATTAAATTTGAATCGGTAGACATCCCTACTCATCGGAAGACAGAGGGTGTAGGCCGAGAGAAAAAGCTGGCGTAAAAAACTCTCGGTATTTTTTAAAATCACCAAATCATCATACAAACGACTATGGCAAACAACACTTAAGTATTTTAAAACAAATATAGTAAATTAATTAGAAGTAAGGTGAATATCGAAGTACTTTTATTGTAACTTACCTAGCTAGGAATCCTTTGACTGGCTCCATGTGGTTAGCCGTTAGAAGCCACCGGAAGTTGTGATGGAGCTGCAGGTTCGTAGTATTGCAAGTGGCTTGCGACATAGTGCCTGAAATATATTTTTATCCTTTAAACACAAACTGAAGATTCAGACAATAATCATTCAATAAAAAAATCACTTAAATTAAAATATTTAAATTTTAATGCATATCTACTTAAAGTACATACATTTATTTATGCTACAAAACGGTTACAAGAATATGACATTATCTGTAGTTTTCGTATAATGAGAAATCAATTAGACTGTGCATTTCACGACATGTCAGACTTCTAAAGTGCTCTTACCAATAATAACAGGCATGTTCCGATTGTCAGGTGGCAGTAATCCCGCGAAAGCGTCACCAAGTGCAGAGGCGTGTTGTAAATTGTCTAATACAACTACAGATGGCAATGCTGCTTCGTCAGCGCCAACTGCCGCGCCACATTGCTCTGCTATATTCGCCAAGTACGCTCGCAACTCGTTGCAGGACTTACGATCCACGCTGTAATTATTGCGTGGTTAGAACTTTTAGGATTAAGGCTCTTATTCATAAATTATAAGTCCAATTTTATGGTATTAGTTAATTCATGAATAAGATATAGTAAGAGTAATAATCTCGAACACCGAAATATTATTGAAAGAGTTTAGTAACGAGAGTCTTTACTCTACGGGTAAGGATGGTGGTTTGAGCTATAGAGCAGTGTTGCTGAACTTTTTTTGTGCCATGCCTTACCCTTACCTTAGCTTTTTAAAATTCTTATATAATATCTTAGATATAAAAAGAATTGAATTGTTCACTAAAGAAACTTAAAATATAGTTTTTAGGAAGAAATCTCTAGGAAATTGTTAACAAAACACAGTAAGTAAATTTTCACATATGTATAATGAAACAACGTTGCGTACATTTTCGAATAGCCCCCTAAACAATTAAATTGTCCCACGTTGGAAAACACTGCTATAGAGTGTTAGTTTATTTATTTATTACTTATAAATAAATATAATAAACGAGATAGAGAATGAATTGCTTAATCTTATAAATTATTGTTAAATCGCGACAGTAATTATCGAATAACGATCAGATTTATTACGATATTAAATTTTTATTACTCTTGGAATTTTATGCTGTAAATTTAAATGCTTTTTTTAAGAGCGCATTATCATAAATTTTCTTTAAAAACCAATCTAAAATTTTTGCAATAGAATAATTTTGCATCTTCATAATTTATAGCTACATTGATTTCTAAATTATTAAATTATTAAACCACACTTACTCATTACATAATATGAGATCAGAGCAATTAATTGTTATTAATTAATACGTACTTGAAAGTCGCTACCGCTTCAGCCGGATTTCCTCGCCGCTGCGTGCGTTGCACGTAAAATTCTGCCAATTTTGCTGCTAAATATGATTTTCCAGTGCCGCTTGGCCCGCACAGAATCACGCGCCGGTGTTCCGACAATAGAGAAACGTATCTATAACGGAAATAATTTATTTAGAGACTAGTTCATTATAGGTAATTAATTATAACAAATTTAGTGCTAAAAATTAACAATGTAATCAGTAATTTACACGACCTATTAAGTATAATTAAAAACCATTTCAATTTAAATAGTTAACATAAATATAACACTAACTAAATATGACTAGTGCATACTAAAAATTTTAATTCAAATAAATTTTAAAATCTCACCTATATACAATATTTTTTGGTATAAGGCTATCAAAGGCTAAACTTCCAACACCTTGGAGGCATATGTACAATGTATTCACAGTTCCAATGATGTAACCACATGGGAGTAATTCAGGAAAACCAATTTCAGGGCCTCGCGTCGCTTCTCCCAAGTGATACGATGTTATTGAGTCCGTATTGAGACCAAGATTCGTACCCGGGTCAATCCTCGATAGATAATCCTTGAACGTTTTTCTCACTATATAATCTAAGTTCTGCCAAGTAGTCTTTCCCGAAATATACGTGAAGGCTATTGTAAATTCATTACAATTTATTGTCGAATCACTATTATATACGTGCTTATAGGAATTACTATGTGTCGATTTGTTACTCTTAAGGCTATTAGTGTTTGACTTATTTATAGTTTGGGGGTAGTCTTGTGTTTCTATTTCGGGACTATGATTTTGTGACATCCGCGGTGAGTCAAAACTTGACTGTTTCTCGTAATGATTACTGTACGCGCTGGTGGATTGTTTCGCGTAGAATCTGCACTCTGATTCAGTGAGCGTATCTTGGACTTCTTCGAAATATCTCTGGAATGTTTCCGGTTGGCCTAAATATACCGCTATTGCTATTTTCTTCCCGTCAGTCGTATCTCCTTGGCTGTCTGCAACGCCTGTAAACGAGTATTATTCAGTGTTCGTGTCGAGTCAATCTAATCTGTTGATAAAAGTTATTGCCTTACCGATATCCGAATAGCTTTCCCCGATGGCAAGTTCTCGTGTTTTAGGCGGGGGAAGGACACTGTTGATATCGTAATCTCCACTCATTCTGTCACCGGCGTTAAGCCCATTAGTGAATATATCACTAGAGCCATTGAGAGCGCCGAGAATTGCCTCGTTGTTTTCATTAAGTTCACACGTTACATTATTTCCATAAATTGGTTCCATGTTTGATTTCGGTGATCCTTTTTTATCTCGCGAAGGAGTCGACGTTACACAGTTGAAATCCAAATCTAAAGGTTGCGAGTGCATGTCGATTGTTGCCTGAAAATGATACAATATTAAAGTTATTCTGATATATTTATCGGATTTAATACTAGCTGAAGCAAAAATGAACTAATCGTTATCATAAGCAATTTCATTTAAAATGCATGTTTCTTACCTGATGCATTGTGGCTTGATCAGCAAGACTGAACCTTCGTGGGTCTTCCACAGCGGAACCACCTGTTCCTAAAGAACTCTGACTGCCTGCCAATGATCTTGACGTCACTAGCCTTTGAAGCCGCTCATTGTTTTGTTTCAAGTTCAACATTTCGTTCTGTAAAAATATTTACTTCATTCAAATAACAGTTGACTAGAAAACGGAAATAACGACAGATGTCAAGCTTACCCTCATTTTAATAACCGTGTCTTTGAGACTTTCTAATTGATGAGCTGAAGTAAGCGCTTCTAATCGTATATCTGTAAGAACTAAGTCTTTTTCTCGTAATTGTCTTTTTAATTCGTCTACTAAAGCTTGGTCTTGCTTTTCTGTAACCAAAAGTTTTAAAAGGTTATATAAGTCAATTGAAACTTTCACCAAATTGTGAAGTTGATTAAACTAACAAAGTCATGGCTCATAACGCTTTACCTTTGGTTTGTTCATCAGGTTTGGCCGCGGGGCATGTTGTCTTGTCTTTCGAATTGTCGAGTATTTCGTGGGAATGCTCTAAGCTGTTCTCATTACTTCCTTCTCTAATTGTGTGCGGGTCGTCATAGTGATGTGACCCAGACGAACTGTCTTGTGATGACAATTGCCCGAGGGACGCATGCTTCGCCGTTTTTGAAATCTTTGCATTTCGTGAGAACGCTTTCGTAAACGATGACCGTAACTAGAAGAATTAATTTCATTGTAACAAACTATACAGAAAGTAATAATATGTTTCATTTGTATTGTTAACATTAAATATGTTCTATGTAGTAGAAGTCATGGGCATTTTATATATTAAATAGTATAGGAGATTTTGTACAACTTACCCAGCCTTTCTTTTTATGCTTCTTATCATGAGGTACAGAGGATCCACTACTTAAGCTGTTAATACTGGAGACGCTATCGGTGGAGAGATGTCTTGTGATCGCACCGTTACCAGTTTGTGCTAACCTTTGCGGAGATGACTGCTGGTTCGAAGGCTGTGGTAGTTCCTAAAAAAATATACAATTATGACTTGTACTTGTTAAAATAAAAAATTATTTCTGTATTTGTTAAAGATGTGTACTACCTAAAAACAGTAACAAATAATACACAATATGCATCCAAAATACAACCTATGATTAAGAGAGCTTTTATGAGTAGACACACCCACGGGAGACTCATGAGGATTAAATTATCGAGATGATAACTTGCTAATATTACTATATTAACGAATCATTAAGTATTCTTTGTTTTGTTTTACAAATGCAATCTCGGTCGTCGAACTGGTTTTAATTGTTTAATTACAAGTAACGGTGTAATGGTTGAGTTTCTATTTCGTACTGTATTTACCTAAGGGCATTTGGCTGATGGATAATTACATAGCAAAACAAGAGTTACAACTATAATCGTGCAGAAAATTCTCCCGTACTTATACGTTAGTATTTATTCTTAGACATTATCCAAAAAAAAAAAAAAATTTTTTTTTTTCGGACTTAGTTGACAGAAAAATTCTTGCTTTTGATCGGAAAATAGGGAACAATTCGGGCTCCTTATCACGTTAGGTCTTTTTGTGGCTTAAAGAAATATGTAAGTCTTTTGAATATCTGCCTCATTCTGTACATACGGCATTACTAGAACATAAGCAATAATTTCCTTTAGTTACAGAAAGTTTTAGCATTCGACATGAAAATTGAGCTGTTTAAAGTCTTTTTTATAGCGTTATTCTAAGCAGGATTGGATTCAGTTCGAAGAATTCTTAAGTTCATTGATTCTATAAAAACAGACTTGGCGCCAAATTACTGGATAAGATATCCCTCGTTACATAAGGAATTTTAATCTTTTTTGTAATGATTACTTGAGTGTCACCTAATCATTATGAGCGTGATCTCATTGCAAGCAACGCGACTGTTTAATGTTGTTGCGCAATGATTGATAGTCGACCCACATAATGTTGTTTTAATCACGACCTATTACTTAATATGTATGTTTTAATGTGTACATACCCTAATTACAAGTCCCTGATTAGAATATCTAGTGCAAAAGTTTTCTGATGAATGCACTATTTTGAGCGATAAATGACACGTAAATCAACTGTTACGGGCTTATGCAGTGCAGTGTGTAGATCTTAAGTTTAATCTTCCTATTATCTACAGATTACAGTTTACAGCTTAGACAAGCAATAGTTACAGATGTTGTATTTGGTTTACGCGAGTCCCAACATTATATTTGAAAAATTATTACACTAATTGTGTACTGATTTACGTAAAAGTACATTAATAAAAAAAAAGACGGCTACTTCATTAACCCTATTCCAATCTATATAAATAAAAATGAATTGCAAAATATGTTGCTAAGCGCTAACCTCGAAGATATCTGGATTAATTTGAGTATTTTTATTTAAATATGATAGCGACTGTACTCTCGTGACTCAACCAAATAATGAGATAAGATTTTAAAGTTGTATTAAGTACAAAAAAAAATACCTGTCCAGTAACATTGACACCATCAGCCCGGATACCCATAGACTGCATGTGAGCCGTTGTCAAACCAGCTTGTATGGACTGCTTTCGAAGTAACTCGATGGTTTGCCGAAGGTCCGTTAGCTCCGAGTCCTAAGATAAAGCCAAGAAAATTTACATTAATTTACATTTTATAACAAAAATGTACTGATGTGTAAATTTTATGATAACATAATTACCTTGATAAGATATTTTGTATACATAAATTAAGATCAAGTTATAGCGGAGGAAAAGTACTAAAGCTGTTTAAATTTTTTTAAATACTATTGCTGATTTTACAAAGGAACCAGGAAGACAAATTATTTCGATAATCTAAAAAAATTTAAAGGAATATTTTAAACTAAGTCAGCCTGATCAACTTCCTGTATAAAAATAATAAAACATATACGTAATGTCTTCACCGACACTTAATTTATCCCAAAGCCTTAAAAATCAAAGAGAAATCTCATAGGCAACGTATCGTAGTGAGTCGCATGAAAATCGACACCAAGACTTTCCGTTTCCGTCCGACATTATTTCATTTTCCATTTAAATAAATAATGAACATAACTTAACATTGATCTCTATATAAATATCACGGTAATTAAAATAGAAATGGTATTAAAAAGTTAATACTGGTGTCGGTATAACTTTATCAAGCCACGTGTTTAAAAGCTCACTTAAAGCTTGCTTATATGGAAACTATAACGAGTTTGCTTATCTGGAGTATGATTTCAAACCATCTTTCACTACTCTTAGTGAGATTAGTACTTCCTGTGTCGGCTTTTTATTTAGTATTTTGAAGTTTTAAACTCTCTCCAGTGAGTCTCGAAACCCTTTTTACCCTTGAGTAGAAACTTCCTTCCGTTCAACGGATTTTGTAACTAACTTTTAGATTTTCAAGTAAAAAGCTAAACTGACATATTTCAATAATATTACATGTATACCAACGTATAAGAAATCGCACCCGTCATTGTAGCAAGAAAAATAAGGTTTTCTTCAAAACTATAAATCATTGCAATACTAGATAATATACATATGTAGAGCAGAGTTGGTCTGGTGGCTTCAGCGTGCGACATTTCCTGAGGTCGTAGGTTCGATCCTCAGCTGTGCACCAATGGACTTTCTATCTATGTGCGCATTTAACATTTGCTCGAACGGTGAAGGAAAACATCGTGAGGAAACCGGCTTGCTTTAGACCCAAAAAAGTCGAGGGCGTGCGTCAGGCACAGAAGATGATCACCAACTTGCCTATTAGATAAACAAATTATCATGAAACAGATACAGAAATCTGAGGCCCTGACCTAAAAAGCTTGTAACGCCAATCATTTTTTTTAATACACATATGTAAGCGTATAATACATATTTCATCAAACTCATGGATTACCGAACTACGGAAGTGGTCACGTCCAATAAACGAACAGCGAAATTACTACTTCCTGCGAAGTTTTTTTTTTCAAACTTTCTCTACGTTGTTAAAAACAAAACTACGTCTCGTTATAGTGGTTAAACTAATCACTGGTCCGTCCATCTCCATAAGAATGTAAACACAATAATAAAAATACTTTCCTTTGGTTTACACTGTGTTATTGTCTAAACGTCTAATGTTGCTATTTTCTTTATAAACATTCACAGGTACAATTAAAAACAATGTATATTTTAATATAGTTTTTAACATAGTTATACCCACGGTTTTCAATAAAACTTATATGAGGGTGGATCGTTAAACTTTGGTAACCAAAATAAGCATGCATTAACTTCTACGTAAAACAAGAAATTTGTTTGCTTGTCAATTAATAACTGTGAAAACATATCTAATGTTGATTTGTATAATGTATTACAGTTATTAGGAAACAGCTTGCTCATGAAACATAAATTGTTCTAGGATCTATGGATATGGCAAAGCTATAAAAGGAAATAGGATTTATTACCTTTCTCTCGGCGGTGGCCGTCAGCTGCTGTAACCGCTGGGTCATGTTGGAGAGGCTCTGTTCGAAAGCGGACACCACGTGCGCCTGAAACAAATCATTTTCATATAATTTCTCTTAGCGACAACACTAAATACAAATAGTCTTAGAAATTATTGATTAGATTTATTCAGAAATATATTTTTAAACACCAGTGAAACAGATACATATTAATAAAGCAATGGTATGTTTGTTCTTGATGAGGAGACTGGTGTGATTACTGGTACCTAGGACCTACCGAATTAATTTTAAGCTTTTATTACAATGTCTATATCATTTTATTTATTACATTTTAATAATTGAGACGTTTTTAAATTCATCTTTCATACTTAGACATACTTAGGTACTAATTATAGCTCGTTTCATTTTAAAACCTGATACCGGTCTTTACCTTTTGGTTTAATTAATATTGCAAGCCAAGCCGTGTAGCGTGATACCATTGTGAATTAATTTAAAACAGTTTGCATTTAGTAAAGTCGTAGGCGATAGAGGTGTTTTCATTTAAACAATTTAGACCACACAATAAGTGTTTTATGCGTGTTTACTGTTGGTACAAAGTACATACAAACATGCCACTTCCTGGCTGTCAAGACAAACTGGTTAAGTGCACTTTTTGTTATGAGATGACCGTATGATATGAGGTTTCTAAGAGCTTTTATTATTCCATCATGCCTCTAATCATATATTGTGAAGATTGCTTTGCGAAGCTCGACTCGCCGAGGATTAAGCACGTTTTCTCTTTAACGACTAAACATAAACTAATTCACTGTATTGTATGGATCGAAATGAAAATGTATATGACATTCTGTATTCGCATAGTCTGGACAGAACGACACCTGTCGACGCAGTTGATTATAAAATATTGATTCATAAAAACTTACAAAACTGCAATTAAATGCAACTGTTAATGAACATCTTACTTTAAGCTATGTATTAATTATTAGCCATAATCATCGTATAGGCTAGATTGTAATTCATATAGTCTTGTTTTTCTATTGTAGATTTAAAATCGATAAAAAACAATGTAAAAACAAGTCCTTAATTTTTTACTTATCCAGAGCGCAATTACATATGTTTATATTGGATAATCCATCTAAATAAAGTAAAGGTTGTATAATAACTATATAAGTGTATAATACTAACGAACGAGTTAACACGGGCGAAACCACATGAATATAATATATATTATTAAAAACATATAATCATCAACAATCTGGTTTTTACTGAGAAACCGTTAGTCACTCCGATTTTTATAATTGTAGACGGTTTAATCCAATGAAAGCCATTTTTTCAACATAAGATCAAAATATTTAATAGGAAGAAACTAGTGGGAAAATCCAATTTATGAATAACCAAATGACTCACGTTAAAAGTCATGTTAGGGTGGTCAAAGGTGGTCCAAGTCCCTTTGTTTGTCACGGGCACTCAACAAAATTAAATTGGGGTAAAAGTGGTCTACGAGCCACGCAGTTATTTGTATTCGTAAAAGCTTCCTGAATTCTATTATAGAAATAAATATGGCTGATATTAGTTACACTTCCAGTAATTCGTCACACTCTTCGTTGGATAAGATTAATAATTATTTTATAATAATTATTTTATTGACTGATTAGTCAGATCAAATGATTACGTTCAACAAGAATCTAAAGTCAACTTTCCATATTACTATAATCAATATGAAATAATATTAAAACACTATGAACAAACAGGAAAAGCAATTGAAAATATTGGATAAACTTAAATGTTTAATCTAAAAAGGTTTCCGTTATCTACATGAAAACTATAAAACATGTAACAAGGAAAACATATGCGCATTTAAATAAAACTACGCACTTATTAAATTCATCATATTTAATTACATGTGTCATAAAAAAGAAACGTTTACCGTCTGTAATTAATGAAGCATATATTCGATGGAGAATTTGAATGTACACAACAGATGTAAGATACCAGAGTTTATACAACTAGAAGCTCGCCTGGTTTCGTATAGATAATTCTACTAAAGCAGTTATCTTGTTATAGTATTATTTAATGTAAATTATTAAATGTAAATTTACAATTAATTTAACTTCTTTCTGACAATTCATAAGTGTAATTGTTTACCTACATGAATAAAGATATTTTGAGTTTGAGTTTATTAACGAAGCAGTGTCTATAGTAATGACTGCTTTTGCGGTGTCTATTAGCTTTGAAATCCACTTTGAACTTTGCACGTAGTTGCATACTTGCCGAACAGCACTTCAAACGCTTTTCTGTCTCTTAAAACTCGGGACTTCAACGTGGTTCAGAAGTTCTGATGGCGAAGGCATTTCAAACTTCTACCCTATCAATAATGCACTTAAGACGAAAACAATAATTATTTTCACATTGGTATCAATGATATGCAAGTTTATTTGATGTTGATATGCAAATAGCGATTTTTGTGTACAATCTTTTATTTTAATTTTATAAATTGTCTCTGAGCAAGAACGTCATTCAACATTACGAACTAGCCTAACTTATGACTAATAAGTAATATAAAACTAACCTAATATACTAAAAAGGATATTTAAAATAGGAAAGTATCCTATAACACTTACAATCTCTATTAAGGGGAAGACACTCTGTTCTTGTATACAATTTTTTTTTTGCACTGAACAAATAAGAGCCTGACATATGAGTTTAATTCGTCTACGTACAGACATCCGCCAGTATTATACGATTGGATTGCTTAGTCATTAAGAGGGAAAAAATTTATACGAGAATGCAACGTTAAAATACAACTTTCGTACAATTCACCTGCTCTTCCAGTCGTATGTCCAATTATAGTGCCACATTGATAGATCTGCGTAACACCTTTTGCGCGTGCCATAACTGATAGTTGGAAAAACTTGCCGTGTACACCTGTAGATTTGAATAACTAGGTAACTAACCCTAGCAACGGGTTACCGTTACAGTTTATTTATACCAACTGCATGTTTATAATCCCGTAACCCCTTAATGGGACAGATATATTTTTATGTCTGTTTTTTTAGGCAAGTAGGCCTTGCCTTCAGCCGGATCAGCCTTCTGTGACGAAACCGAATATTGTTTTCTAAAAAGCGAACCCTAGGCGTTCGGGTTTACTGTGTGTTAATATACCACGAAAACAGTTAAGAGATAATACCATATATCTAACTAGAGCTGTATACTATGTATTGTACGTTGTGTATGCACATGAGATATAAATTGCATACAATGTTACGAGGCAAAAATAACCACGTTTTCTTAAACGTAGTTGTAATGATTGCTTAATTAATTATTATTTTCATTGTGTGCATGGCGTCGACAATAAGAATTTTAACCCATACCAATACTCATTGAAACTTTATTTTGGTATTTGGTAACAGCAAGCAGGGCTTAGGCTCAGGCCACTCTTTTTCTTATTTACATCCTAAATAGAGACTTTCTTATCAGCCTAAGCATACAGGCCTTTGTAGTCAAGCATTTTAAAAGATTACATTTAGGTTATCAAGGCATTAAAAGTATGATAATAGTAAAGTAAAATTGTTTTCTGTGTCTTCGATGTTTTCGGAACGATAGAAATATCTTAAGCCATAGTTAAGTTCATACACAGTGGCTGTATAAATATATATTTAGTTTTTTATAATAGCGTTGAAATGGAAATCTGTGGGTTAAAAAAATGGGTAAAAATTTAATGTTTAATAAGATAGATAAGAAATATTAATAATTTCTGATAGAAACAATGATAATAGATAAATATACTTAGTTAAAAAAAACTAAAAAACACGCTTTTAAAGCACATCAAACTAAAAAGTGAAAAATAATTCCTAATTTAGGCTGAAAATGGTAATGAACAAAAAATACTGGTATTATTGTGAAAAAGCGTGGGGCGCTCTGTGCCATATTTTTCGTCTATCGAGCAACAAAGTCACCGCAACCCATGGACACCCATTTTGGTGGATGCGTTGCAGGCCTTTGAGGAGTATGCTATTGGAGGTCGTATCTCCCAGGGAAGACCTACCGAGAGTCGACTTAGTTCACTAGTTCGCAAAACGCAACAGTTAATAATATAAAAATAACGCTTTACATCGGGACAACTTTATATTTAAAAGCTGTAAAATAAACAAAACTTTTATAAGCATTTTAAGGTAATGCTCATTGCGAAACCATGCCATTTAAACTGAACAATGCTACGAAAACGCAGCCGTTTAAATATTACTTAAAAAGTAAAAGGTAACACAGAAGGTGAAACAATAATTAAGTAATGCATTACCCGGCTCGTTTAAAGTACAATGCCCTTAGAGCTTTGTGGACGTCACGCACGTGTCTTTACTTACATTAGATAATGAAATTTCACTGTCCTACTTCATAATTTGATACCGGCAGGCCCATTATGTCCAAATTATACTTCGTCAATATGAAAATTGTTGAAAACGGAAAGACGGTACAATATATATATCCCAGTTGTTGATGGTGTATTGTATAAAAGAGAGCTTTTTATGCATAACAATGAGAAGTATTAGTTTAGTAGCATATAAACTTTTCTGCCTAGAACCATTGAAGGATGAGGCATTTCGCCGTTCCCTGATTTAAATCTCATCGAGCCATATCTTATTTAATAAATCTCTTTTATACAACGTAGAATATCTAACTTCCTTTTCTCAAATGAAATACGGGGGGCGCCTACACACCAATTGAACTTTTGAAGAAACTAACGATTCAAGTTATAGGGGTGTGCCGTTATAATAGTTTATGGCTTTAACAACCTATATTGTATATAAAATATATATAATTAAGTTTGAAAACTAGTGTAACGTGTTATAGATATGGCCACTGATTTTAAGTTTTAATGCTTTATGTTCGTGTATACTGAATATGTTAAAACACACAAACACTGTACATAAATAACGAACACTAGCCTCTAATAAAAAGTGGTTAAGAGATATTTATTACGTATATATATTGTTGAGACGAACTCTTATGTTAGTAACATCTAGGACCACCACCATATAAACGAATATCTGGAGTTTTCTACTTGATTTGTCTTGTGTAGGTAGTTAACTGTAGCGGTGGGTTGAAATAATGCACCCATAAAACAAGTAAGGTAAATGCGGATGCGACTTTGTAAGGAAAGTGTGCCATTGCGGTTCTTTACTGTGGTCAAGAAACATTACAATTGTAATAAGATCCTTGGAACTGCGAAAGCCTTTCTTCATTGGCGCTAAAACCCGAACTAAACCCAACTTTTTAAGCCTGAGTTGGTCGGTTTAAAGTGAAACTAATGCAAAAATTAAATTGTTATTGGCTATGAATTGTAACAAAATGAAATTCTCTAAGGCGCGAGATGCTGATCCGATCCGATCTCCGATCTTGGATCAATACCTACTTACATTTTTGTTAAATATAAAATTCTCGTGTCACAATGTTAGTTACAATACTCCTCCGAAACGGCTTGACCGATTTTTATCAAATTTTATATGCATATTCAGTACGTCTGAGAATCAGCTACTATTTATTTTTCATAACCCTAAGTGATAAGGGTTGTCCACCTCTAACATTTTATTTTTATTTTTGGACGAAATTTTAATTTTAATTTGTTTTATAATGTGCCATTAAAAATACATGCAACCTTTAATTTTCATTCCTCTACGATCAACCCCTATTTTTTACTATAGTAGATTATCGCACTAAAAAAATGTTTCCTAGAAATAATATTATACATGGCAAAACGACGTTAGCCGGGTCAGCTAGTCTTATATATAAAATTCTCGTGTCACAATGTTCGTTCCCATACTTCTCCGAAACGGCTCGACCGATTCTTATGAAATTTTGTATGCATATTCAGTAAGTCTCAGAATCGGCTACTATCTATCAAACCCCTTAGTGATAAGGGGTGTCCACCACAAAAAAAAAATTTTTAGACAATTTTTTTTGTTATATTTTTGTATGATACATCATACAAAAATACATACAATCCCTAATTTTCCCTCCCTCTACGATCAACCCTTATTTTTTTTATTGTAGTTAGTTATTTTTATTGAACTAAAAAAATATTTCCTAGAAATAATATACGTATGGCAAAACAACGTTTGCCGGGTCAGCTAGTTGTTATATATATATAAAATATTGTAAAGTTTACACAATCAAAATATTTTTATCATGATTAAAACTGTAAAAATGTTCTTATACTTATTGATGAGATTTTATAAGCTTTCTCTGGCACAAAATTTAATATAACAGATACATACAAAATGAATCGCACATTTGCATTGAATTTTCTAAATAAACATAAGCTACCTTTTTATTTTGTTGGTATCATTATAACATACTGCGAACTGATTACGTCAAGTTATTCAATGAATTAATCATTACAAGAATTAAATTACGAAGATAAAGCAAAAATGGCAAGCACAGCAGATATTTTACACCTACACGCGAGATAAGTGAATGAAATCACGTGCAAAAATAATTTGCGTAATGTCACCAAATACTTCTCACGTGCAGAACTTTTACGACAGGTAATAAGAAAGTAAATTTCTTTGCAATTAATATGTATTCATTAAGTTTATTATCGAATGGTGGACCAGACATTTAAATGACCATAAGCAAAAATTATACCAAATTTATACAAATGACCACATATTTTACATGCGTTATCAACATTTATTACCGATATTTTTGAGGAAACAGTATTTTTATAATATCCAAGACACACCGGTTTTATAGCCGTGGGAAGATGAAATGAAAGAAATCTTTCTGACATGTGACCAATTTCGGCAGTCAGGTAGTTTTTTTTTCGGACGATTCTTTCAAAGTCTTTAAAATGGTGCTTAGATGCACCTGTGTAAAGAAAAAAATTAGAACATAAATTATTCTTAACAAAGGTTTGTTACTCCAGAGTATTGAGATATCATTTTAAATTTATTTATATATTCCGACATTGTAAATTATGAATCAATTACTTTTTTCTACCGGAAATCAATTGCCGAACAACTTAAATAATTACACTTTTGTTTTTACTTTAGGTGTGAACTATTAAATACAAATAAGTAATGAGCTATTCATTTGTGCAATCTAAAATAGGCTTTATAGCAATATATTACAATTTGCTTTGCCTTAATCTTTTACATAATTATTTTCCTAGTTTTTTCTCTAAACACGTAATAATAAATACACACAGACGCGATAGATATAAACCTTGTCTTTTGTTCATAGCGATCTTTGAAACTTGTTTCCTACTTTCAAAGACTTGACCCTCAGAATCATTTCCTAACTAGTAGAACTAGCAAATGCATATATAATAAATACGGAAAACTGTTATACTCACGTCTTCCAATATAGGACAGCTTTTGTATCGTGATTTCTTTATAGCGAGTTCCCACCAAGGAACGGGAGGCTTCGACCGTAGTATAGTTTGACACCCAACCTTAGGATCCTGGGCTTCATATAATGTTCCTAATGGTCTTGACAATATAGGTTCCAGTTCTTCATCAACAGGTATTCCAGTAATACATTCACAACACTTGTGAGGTTTTTTTATGTTTACATGTGGAGGTTTAAAATCAGTACTGAAAGAATGTCTGTAACTAAGGCGCTTTGTGAACCCGTTCGTTTCACTTATAGATCGCCTTACGCCATTTCTGTTCTGGAGCGGCATTTTTGGTATTTTCTGCACATCGCTTATGATACTAGAACTGTCGTTTAACTCGGATACATCCGCACATATTGGCGTATTTGGTTCCGAATTGTAGCCAATTTTATTCCTATGTAGACTTCCATAGAACGGGTTTTCCGTCGCAGTAGGTTTAAGATCTATAAACTTTGGTCTTCGCATGTTTAATGTAGCGTATTTTTGAGGAGATTTATGAAATCTCGATTTATTTGGTAAATCTTTTAAAACATCTTCCGTATCTGTCGAGGGTATTGTAGAATTGTCACTATAGCTTGATATGGGCCGGTCGTTATCGGTAAAGTACGAGGAGGATTCTGAACAGTTATCTCGATCGCTATTTCTCTTTCTATAGTCGATAGAGGACCCTGTAGTGTCTGTGCGTACGGAATGTTGTTCAACGTCCTGACTTGCAATGTTGGTGTCATATGGGCGATCGCCGTTATTCACCAATGTTACTTCTAAATTTTCATCAGTATCAATTTCTCTGGGTATATCTAGACTGTGCAGTCGCCTTCGAGGCTTTGTGTTGATAGATCTGTAATGAACTTCTTGCCTACCGCTTATAGATTTAACGGGCGAGGCACATATAGATTGCGGCGGACTAACTTTGGCATAAATGGGTTCTGTAAAGCTAAGTCGGGACGGTTTATTTACATGAGCACTTTGTGATTCATTTGTTACGTACTGTACTCCACAACTGCTCTCTAGGAAATTATTTTTAGAAGTTCTTTGTAGTGTAAAATACTCCGAATGCCTTTGAGGTAGATTGGCCATGTGATTTGGTTCAACTAGGTTTCTTATCTTAATCCGGCTCCTTGGTGCTCGGATTGTAGCAAATCCATCGTGAATTGGCGATCCACAATACGTAGGCGATGTAGTTACAGCCATGTTGATTTATTTTTTAACAACCGTCATATAACGTTAGTTGAAAATATTTCCGAATATTATTGAAATATATATTCATTTTCTATAATACAGAGACGTGGTTACTATTTGAAATACAATTTCTAGCGATATTTGATTAATATTAGAGGAAACAATCACTCAATTTATAAACTAAAAATAAATTAGAGTAATAAAAAACAACATTTCAAGTGGTCGCAGATACCCGGAATCATAATATGAAACCTCCTTCTAATTTACTTTAGACTAATCTATGGTTAATCATACTTAGAACTCTTGACGAAGAACATTACTAAAAACTATTTTGAGATCTCTTGAGACGATAACAGATTTACATGATGTAATATAAGGTGCATTAGACAACCCTTTTAGGTTAGATAAAAATAAACATGTAACCTTCAATTTATGTAGTTACTAAGATGTATAACGTTTCAATTGACAAGTCGTGAATAAAATGTAATGCCAGGTTTCCATAAAACATTTAAATACTTTCTAATTCAAACTAGACACGCCAGCTGTTCCGGCGGTATCCGAGTGAATGTGCGAAATTGTAATTTATTTCTCAAATCAATTGCCGTTTAATCTTAATGAAGATAGGTTTGCGTAATAGAAACCAGTATTATGTAGTAGGCATAATACCCAAATTTTATGAATTACACTATTCGGACCAAAACAATAATTTACTCGAGCCTTGGAAACATTACCAAACACAATTATAACTTAATGAAGTATGTCCGTAAGGTATCTCGTAGAATTTTGAGTTGTGCCCACTTCACCGACATTAGCCATTCTAGAGATACTGATTTATTGTAATGTTTACTTAAATGTTTGCATTACGAAACAAATAGGTTTGACGCTTAATTCATTGGATAATGATACCTTAACCGCTCGAAGGCTTAACAAATGGTTCATAATTGGATTTTATCTCATTTATACCGCTAATCCTTTTCGCTTGTATTAAAATTGTAAAATGTCTTCAAATTTATACGCTTTTTATTTTTTTTAAGAACAGTTAATATATTCCGTGTGTTCTGTTGTTATAACCCAATATCGCATGTTAGACAATATTATCCACCACTAAAGTGCCCACTTAGTGATTGTCTTCGTCTAATGCATACTAAGAAAACGAAATAGCTATAATATTGTGTAGCTTGTATAGGCTGCTTTTCGGATATATATGAGACTTTACGCTCAATTAACGATCAAACAATCGTAGGCAACGAGTATGACTAACCATACTCGTTGGTATTCCACATTCATGGTGTATAAATCCAAGAATCGAATTATTGAATCGTCGTGAATATTAAAATTCTTTCAAGACTTAATTTACATATACGAGCGTTTGTATTGAGGTGAAAGAAAAAATCACGCATAAGCATATAGTAAAACTGTAGCTGACTTTTCCTGTTTTATTTCAGAAACGGATACATTCATTCCTATAATTATTAACTTCTTTATTGAATGCTTGCAATAACAAACTATCTATGTGTGTCTAAACCGTACTACTTAATGATTTTAGGTTTATGTTATCTAAGACAAATTTGTCAAGTAATGGAGTATATTATTCCGACTGAAGAACTTATATACATGGTCATATAATATATAACTTGACTTGTGTTTAAATAAAACTTTTGTATGGGATATAAACGCGAATTTTTTACAGAAACTCCACTATAGACCAAGATTAATTCATAATAAAAATAATTATATTTAAATAGGACTCGCAATAATTACATATATTTTATGATACGATGCAATATTATTCGTTTCGTTATTAGCTTTATCGACCGCGGTTATACACTTCTTGCTACCTTGTAATATATTTAAAATAATTATTACTTATTGAATATTGATATTGTATGCATTAAACTGTGCCAGGACCGAGGGGAGTTCAAACAAGCCCTTGGACTTCTCAAAGGTTATTGCACTTAGAGCGTGTATTATGAATGGCAACGCCTATAAAACTTTTTAATAACTAACTATACAAAAAGCTTTTAGTGTAATATACAGATACGAACTTTACTGTATTAAGAATTGTGCCATAGTTGTAACTTTTCTGTGTAAATATCGTGTAAATATACCGTAACATAGTATGTCGTGCATTATGCAGAGTCTTTTTGAATCTGTTATCGATATGTAAACATTAATCTGGTATATTTGTAATAAAATTGGGGTACCGAAGTTAAATATCTTTATTGGCGTCAATTGTTAGGTTAAATGACTATTAGTCTTTTTATATATCTAATTAATAAAACAACGGTTTTGAAATTCAGAAAAAGGCACATTACTTCTTTGAGAAACTAAGGCGAAAAGAGATGGATTGATTGTTTATAACCGTCTCGCTCGCTCTAATGTTGGGTTATGCCTCGTAATTTAGTATCAACGACCTGTACACAAGTGTTTTGTAAGATTTTTCATATCTAAGTACACAATCCTAGTTTCAAAACTACAGATAACATCATTTGATGTTTCAAATGTGTTCATTTTAATTGCTCTATAAGATAGCATTTTCATAAAAAATACATGCAAAAGTAAATTTCAAAATTGACTTTACTTTTAAAATTCTTAATTTTAAAAGAAATTTTATTGGGAAGCAACAAACTGAGTCTCGCAGTAAATGTTTTATTTAATTAGGTATTATTAAGTTTAATAAACACATTCCTTAAAAAATTTAAATAAACGTGTAAAATGTTTAACCCCTCACTTTAAGTGTACAACTAAATACTTAATAAACAAAGCGGACATCAATAAACATGATTGAAATGACAGAATTAATATTATGATAATTTATGTATCGGCTAGTGTTTACCGCCAAGTTACGCGAGATATCTGTGAACTTTGTGAAATTGTGTCAACGTTGCTTTATTATATTGACATTGTTTGAGACATAGCTCAGATTGACACAAAAGAATATGTAATTAAAGTATATTGTCCTTCTCATGTTGTTGTGTAATTAACAAATGACACTTTTTGTTTGAAGGTAGTTTTATAATAATTCGATTGAGATGAGACAGTTTGCTGAGACGGGAGCCATTTTCATGAACGTTCACGCACACGCGTGCATACACTCCTATACATATCACAAACTCTTACACATGTGTATCTATTTTTTTTCTTGTGTTTCGGTAGAGTCTGGTCACCCACCCACAACACAGGAATGTCCTTATGTAAGGACCAGCGTTAATAGAATAGTGCAACAATAAGGACCAATGAATGAACTTTGATATATTATTATTTGGTATAAAACAACAATAAATGAACATGACAGGAACCTAAAGAAGGATTTATAACAAACGTCAAATGAATAATCAAGCATAGTGACAAAATAAAACATTGTTAGTCCAATGCCATAGTAACTGTAAACCAACACCGTAAGTCACCCTTCCGTAAAATCACTAACAAAATGGGCAAGTGGATTTACTTCCTTCCTCTATATTCAGTGAAGGGGAAGAATTTCACACAGCACATCCGATACACCACGTTCAATAACAATTACAGTAATATGTGCTTTCATTTCCATAGTTCGGCAAAGAACTATTAACTCTAATGTACTCCGTAGAAAGTTGTACAAAACCTCATTGTAAACAGATCATAACCCTAACGGTATATTCGTGTACCAGCAACGTATTTGCTCGGGAATCGAGTGTTTAGCGAAGTCATAATGACTGAAGACTGTGGGAACTAGAAGAGTTTAATATTGGAAATTGGAACTATTTTTATACGATAAAAGTAACAGTAGCAACGAGTTTCCAGTAAAACAAAACGTCACTCGAAGGTGGTTGTTTTAATTATCATTCCGATGTCTGTGATAAGAAAAACGCGAATAATCATTTTGTTTCACTTAAGCAACATCATAGGACATAAATTGCTACATATCTGGCCTGCTAGGCAAACTAGACCCCGAAACTATTAGATGATATATTAGTCGTAGAATATCTTAATTTGATACGTGTAAGACGATATAAGAGCGACTTGCATTAGAAACCATTCATAACTAGAAAGTACGTGATTCTACACGGGTTCTCTTGAAAATGAAATGATATTGTTACGTAAAGCTCTATATGAATCAAACATTCCAATCGACTAAAATAACTTTATTCGATTAAAGATAATTATTCTTTTTTCAAATGTGAACAACGCAATAATCTTGTATTCTTGACATCATCGTTAATTCAAGAGCTACAAATGTTACGCAAAAAGAATAATGATTTAACGGAATTTTTCCTCAACACATCTAAGTAGATCCATCTAAATGACCTTTAAGTGTTATCGCAGATTAGAACATAATGTACGATCCAGCGCAACGTACAATAAGGACTCACAAAGGCAAGGAAGTAAGAATTATAATGCGAATGTACAAAACAAGAAGAAATAATGTAGAACAAGTTTTAGATGCTCGAGTAGCGCATCTGTCGCGCACATGGCCTGGGTCTCAGAGCATAACGTAACCAGAAGACATTTGATATGAAAGAGAGGTGAACACTGCGTCATCTGGTTTAATAAATGCCAAAATGCGGTCAAGGAGTACAAACAAGATCTCGTAAATTAAGGACAATCATTATCGTGACCTTATCGAAGATAACGCTATACTTGAAAAAGTGGTTAAATGTACAGGAATGAGATTACTTACTCATTTAATGTTAACATTACTCATTTATAGTATTAAGGAAAAATTCAAAACTACTTCAAATTTCTTAACAAATAAATACAATCGAATTACAACGATACGAACAAATTTATAATTATTAAATATATATCCTTTATGAAAAAAATCTAAACGAGGCCTTTGAACAATACACATACTTGTATCAATGACGTATAATAACTAAAGCTAAATTTAAAGGAACCCGTTTAACCTATGGCCTCTATTGTTATGCTAATCATGAAGAACCAATCTACTGTGACGGATTTTGCATTCTACAGAAGCGATGTCTATCTACTTAGCAAACCGAATAACAAACAACTATTTTGTCATTGAACTATGG